TTCTTATAGTTATTCATTTTCCTGGTCCCTTATTTAAGTTTTCTAGATTCCTGCTGTGAGTGAGACCATCCGGTATTTTTCTTTTTCTTTCTGGCTTATTTCTCTGAGCATGATCCCTTCCAGCGCCATCCATGTTGCTGCAAATTGCATGTGTTTATCTTTTTTGAATGCTGAGTCTGCGTCCTCTTGTCGCCGCCGGAGCGGGGTCCCGCTTCTGCAGATCGAGAAAGTGAAGTGGCCCCAGGAACTGCTGGGGCCGTTTGACTTTTGAAGAGAAGCCTCGATGGAAGAAGCAGCCGGAGAAGCGAGAAGAAAGGAAACGTGACGAGAAAAAGCCATGCTAGCGAAGAGGAAGCTCGGAGAGGCGAGCGCAAGGCGCACGGAATTGGCGACCCTGGGACGGACTAGGCGACAGCAAAATTCTTTCCTAAAATGGGCCTTTCAGATCACGCACCCATGAGCTGCTTGCGAACAGCCTCTGCTCTCACCTTCCCTTGCGAGTCATGGTTTTCTATTACTTTTTGTACAACATCAACTCTAACTGGGGCGAAATATTTCCCTGTTGACACGATAGAGCAATTGGAAATCGCGGTGTCTCTGAAATCTCAGAGGCTGCGTTTCATTTCCGAACTTTACACTATTTCATGATGAGATGACAAATTCCTCCTTAACCTTCAACTAACATCACGATCTTAACGAAAGGGAGCAAACATAGATCATGGAAAATCAGTGCTTCGATTTTTTTGATAACTATTCAGGCTCGTAAGAAAATGATTCTCATTGACTTTTGTCAAAGAAAACATCCATATTTTGTAAAATTATTACTGCTCGTTATTACTTTTATTTATTGCTACCGGTTATTTCTTAAATTCACATAAACTTAATGGAAATGTATAGAACGTTGTACCCTAAATAATATATCTTAAATAATCATAACAACGCCTTTTGTAAGTCCTACGTTTATTCAAAACCACAAGCCAGTGGACTTTTTGCTGTTAATTTCCTCTGAAATTTCTTTGTTGGAGCAGTAAGAAGTTTTCATCCTGGGCACAGGAATTGATGGGAAAATATTCCCAGTCTGTCACTAAAAGACATAATTCCAAAGTATTTTCATATATGATAAATCACTTCCCAAAGTGATCTATTTATGTCTTTTATTGTGTGCTGCGATTAAATGTGAAATAAACCAAATCAGAAGAACAATGATTGCACAGATTTATGGTTACTGGAAATTACTAAAAATTAGATTTCAATTTATGTAAGTATTTCCTGTTACATGATAATGTGATGTAACTCATTGTGAGTGGCATGATTGGGTCTTTGAACATAAAAGTATTAATAATAGGTGAAAATTCTGTGATTGATGTGTTTGCGAGAGACAACTGATTCTCCTAAAATTTTCCACTGTAAAGCCTTGGTAAGAAGGGCTACACGGTTTAAATTGAAATCTGAGGAATGAACAAAGGCAGCTGACCTGACACACACTAAAATGTGTCACGGGTAGAAAATGAGAATATGGAGCTTGGAACAAATATAAAGTATTTGGTCCCTCTTGGAAGGGAAATGTGTGTGAGGACAGCTGAAGGTGGATTTGCAGGCGAATTAAGGTAAAATTATCAAAGTGTGAAAGGGGCTTCTGGGAGGAAGGTGGCGAGAACTGGTTATGTAAATATTCTCCAAAGTGACTGCAATTTGAAAAACAGCATTTAATTTACATCTATCACCAACAAGGTGCAAAGTTTTGTCAGAAGTAAGTTTTAAAGGGATGTCCTAAAGCCTCAACTCACAGGACGAGGTGGCCGAGTGGTTAAGGCGATGGACTGCTAATCCATTGTGCTCTGCACGCGTGGGTTCGAATCCCACCCTCGTCGACCTTGCTTTTCTGCTCCTCAATCTTTGAGTTGCCCAAAGGAAAATTGCTTTGTTACAAATTTCCTGCTTCACTTCACTTCATCTCTCTCCTTTAGATCTGGTAGTTACATTTGCCGGTATGTGCTGTGACGTCAACTTGGGCGGCTCTTGGCCAAGGTGTTCCCATTGCTCAATCCCTCATCTCCATCACAGCATGGCTCAAATTGCAAAGCCACAGCAGCCAAGGCTTTTGTCACACCCTGTTATACTCTCCTCTGGACTATTGACTGAAGTTTATATAGCACCTTCTCCATTTCTCAGGTCAGAGGAATTCCTAACTCTTCTTGGTTTATTGTCAAAGTAAAGTTTTTTGAAACCTTCTGTCTTGGATTTACTTCAAATGCTGATAATTGGGGAGTAAAAGAAACAACACTGACAAACGTTGCTAATTGTTTAAATTGGTTGATGGACGTTCATTCTACTATTCTTTTGACTTTTCCAAATTTCCACCTGTCCTATTTTTGAATGATATTTTCTCTCATACATTTGTCCACTTTTTTCTATCTTTAGGCTTTTTAAAAAAAATATTTGTTTATTTATGCATACAAGAGCTGGGGTATAGGCCAGAGATACGGGGTGTGAGAGGCTTCACCAGAGACAGAGTGGGGAACAGAACAGACAGACTGACTGAAACACACTGCTGAGGGGAGCAGCAGGTGAGGCAGGAGAGGTCTGCTGCGCCATATGGGTTGCTCCCCAGTGGCCGGGGATTGGGGATCAAACTTGTGCTGCAGAGGCTTTTGATTGCGCGGTGCTTAACCCCTTGCGCCACCAGGGAGGCCCTCATTAGGCTTTTTAAATGCATATTTTTAATTTGCATTCACTAATGGCTAGTTTAGAAGTCTTTATATTTTTGTTGGATAGTGACTCTTTTCTGAAGACAGACGCTTATATATCCTGCCTATTTTTCTATACAGTTACATGCTTTTTTCTTCTTGGTGTGGTAAATTTCTTTACATGCTGAAAAATAAGTCTTCCAGCTTCACAAAATCTTTAATTTTGTTGGGGGATATTTTTATTGACAGTTTAATTTTAACATAGTCAGATATATAAGTAATTAATTTGGAGGGTTAAGACCTTCCTGTCCAGAGGATATAAACATAGTTTGCAGTTTCTTTAGATTCTTAAGATAGTTTTATTTCATACTTAGTCATGTATCCATCATTTTTGTTGTGAGATTAAGCAGTTTTGTTTTTTAGAATTTAGTTACTTGCATCAACTACACTTAAATTCATTAACTTCCTTCCAATCTAAAAGACTAAGTCAACCCTCTTTTTCACACTCTATACCCTCCCCCTAAGAGATGTTTCCAAGATCTTGATGTTGTTTTGATGCACATTAACCAGGTTCAAATCTTCTTCTAAGCCTCTTCAGACTCTCCATTCAGTGGCTCAGACCCAAAAGCTTTCCTTTACCCTAAACTCCTCACTTTACCTCCACCTCACAACCAATGTAAGAACCAAACCTTATATAAAATCAGACCACTTCCTTCTGACCGCCCTGCTCTGAGCCATCATATCTCAACCCATTCCTGCAGCACTACTCTGCCCCCTACCACCATTCTCTCAGCCTCCTTCCCCCTACCCCCACTTTCTCTTTCTCTTCTACACTCTATCTCAGCAGTAACCAGAATAATCCTGCCACAAGTGAGTCATGAGTCATTTCCTTGCCCCAAGGCCTTTGCTGGCTCCACATCTCACACTGGGGGCCTGGGACCAGCTGTTCTCTTTGCCTGGAATCCTCTTACCTTTTACATCAGCAGGACTAAGACTGTCTTTGATTTCAAGTCTTTGCTCAGATGTCAACTTCTCCTAAGACCTCAGATGAAATTGTCATCTGATTCTAATCCATTTATCCTGCTCTTTTTGCCGTAGCACAATCTCTTATATGTACAAATTTATTTCCTGTTATGTTTATTGCTTTTTAAAAATCATCTTCTCAAAAAAAAAAATCATCTTCTCATTGTAGCCGAGTTCTGGGTAAACTAGAGTCCCTGGCCCTTTCGGAAAAGTACTTACCACAGAAGTTTGATCTGGGGAGATGGTTCTTAAGTGTTAACTCGGCCCCAGCATTACCATCCGACAAGAACACTTCTTTCATGGAATCTTGTGGTTTGGGTCAATAATATCACTAACATATAAATCCAAGAGGAGGAATTTGGTCCCTGAGACATCCTAAATATTAGAAGTTTCTAGTAACCAATATCAGATGCCCAAGCATTTTGAGTGAATGATTGAATAGCCTATTGAAATACTTCCTTCCTATCCCATGGTCATTTCACACCTAATCTATACAAAATTACATGTATTCTGCCCAAATTATGCTATCCAGGCCAGATGGCTAAGAGTTCATCTCCTTCAGCTCCCCCTTTCCCTCATTCTGTTTTCTCTACCCACAACCGTGCCAACTGTCCCCAAGCCCTGCTCCTCAGTCCCTCCTCTCCCGAAGGCCTCCTCTTGTCCACTCTTAACTGCCTGGTTAACAATCACTGCTAACTACCTACTCTGAGCTTGCATCTTTGACATTTGCTGGTGACTCCATAGCCTACCACGTATGACCAAGCCTCCAGTCTGTCCCCAGACTGAACAGCCAGAACAATCTAAATCCAAGCTTGTCTCATTCATGCGGAAAATCTTTCCATGACTCCCCATGGCTTCACTCCTTGGCAGTTACCTGGTAGATCTGCTCTGTCTTCCCTGCCTGGGTGCCTGTGTTGGCATGGATCAATATTCTTCTCTATTCGGTGCCCAGAACACACACTTTAAGACAGTATTCAAGATTCAAGTCTTAAGTAAGACGGCCTGCTGTCCTGCTTCCAGTCCCCTGGTACTTGTCATTTGTATTGGCATTACTGGCTTGCTTAGCAGCCTCCCCACTGAATTGTAATCTCCAAAACAGAGGTTGTCTCTCACCTCTGAATGTCTGGTACATAATACAAGGCACAGAGTCATCACTAGAAAATGATAATTATGCTAAGAACACTAGACAATATCTAATACTTTCCCTCTTGTTGACACCTCCCCCACCCCTCACCCACTCCACCCCACCCCCAGCCCTCACCCCTGTAAAATGGCAATCTTGGGCTGTAGAATGCCGTAAGTTGAAACAGCGTGGGTGTTTAGAGACAGGCCTACCTGATGATTTGCTATGGTGAGGAACAAGTGAATAGACTTTGGAGCCATTACAAGTTCAGTCTCCAATCTAGTCTTTACTAACTGGGTTGCCTTGGGCAAGTTCATTAACATTTTCCTGCCTTTGGGTTGCGAAGAGTTTAACAGCAATTCCTATGTCATAGACTTATTTTAGCCATTTATTTTTATCCACCAATTTTAGATCACTTATTATCCCAGTAGACCTCTTCCAAGGGTTCACAGAAGATAGATATATGCAGGGGTTCATTCTTGCCTTTTTTTAAAATCAGGATGATAAGTGCTAAGGACTATGATTATAGCACAGAGGTCAGCTTAGGTGTCAGCTGGTGTTGCCCTTTTCTCCTTTGTTCTCAGGCCCAAGAAGTTTCCTGTCTTACCTGCCCTATCTGGCAGCGAGTGACTGTGGAGGAGCGATTTTATGAGCTACAGGTTAAAAGGAGGAAAATGAAGTGTAGGCTTTGGGCCCCTAATGGGGCTTTCCTGACAGGCGGTGGAGGGATGGTTGCCCACAGTATAGAGAGAAGCAGCTGGATTTCCCACATTGTTTCTCCCTCCCCTGGCTCCCCTGCCTCCAGAGAATGCATCCCTAAAAGTCAAAACAGGTTGTGAATTCTGGAATCAGCCCTTGTTGCCACTAAGCAGTGCTTCGTCCAATTAGCTGAGTCCCAGAACCTTCACTGTTAAATCTGAATCAACAGCTCTGTTCCCACAAGTCATTCCTCTTCCAGACTCAACTGCAAGCATAGAATACCTATCAGCAGACAAAAGGAAGGGAACTGTGTGCTGGAGAGTGACAAATGGAGAAGTGGCAGGTGGGAAAGGCGGACCAGTTAGCTCCGTGCTAGAAAGGAAACCGGCCAAGTTTATTTTTTTTCTTGGAATGAGGAGGGACCTCTGGGGTCTGACGTCTGGGGGGCTGTGTATTAACTCAGGAATCTTTTAGGGGCTAACCTGATAAAAAAAGATGAGGTTGGAATACCACCTTTCTTAGGAAAAGATTCAGACTTGGTGGGAGGAAGTGGTCCAGCAAGAGCAGCACACAAGGGCGCCCTCCAGGGTTGACTGTTGAGCCTCAGGGGAAATTGCATTCAAGGTCAAATTAATCAAAAGGCCCTGGAAGAATCCACTGGAGAACAAAGTCAGCATCCCTAGGGGGCCGGAGAAAGGGAACCACTTCTTAATGCCAAATAAAAGCAGCTAAGATTTGAGAGACTCGGTTTCTCCTCCCAAAGATGCAGGAGAACATGGGCTATAAACACTGCCCCCTGGCATCTCTTTTCCAGGGACAGAACTGGAGGCAGGACCTGTGCTGACCCAGAGAGGAGCAGGCTGGGAGGGGAAGACAAGGCTCTGTTCCATCCCAAAGGTTTGGTTCTACCCACTTTCCATTCTGCTGTCTCCACTAGATACCTTGGTCGTCGTCCTAGAATGTAGATTAGGACCCAGAGGCTGGAGCAGGAAAGCCCTAGACAGAGGTTTGGGGTGTTTGCTTTAAAGAATTGGAAGATGCTGAGGTTCTTCACAGCAACGCTGAGGGGCCACATCAGAATGTGGGTGACAGGGAACACAGGCTATTTCTTGTGGGCATGGTGCCTTCGGGAATGCCCTTGCTCCCTATTCTTTGGGGTTTTTGATTTTGCACCAATGGAAAATGAAGGGGCTGACGACCTGAAAGGTGCTCTCCCAACAAAGCCGTGGGCGGGTGGAGAGGGCACCCCAAAACTGTGGATGCTGCCTGTCTTCACTGGTCCGTGGACAGGGGTGCTCTGAGCAAAGGGGGGCCTGCAGGGCCCCCCAAACATATTCTTTCTTGCAGAAATGTTGGTTCTCCCCAAGGCAAAAGGTGTGCTCTGGCTGGCAGGGCCCCTGGTGTTCTGACTCCAGGCTTTTCCGAAGGGCGGGGCTTTGCTAGAGGCCCCTCGAGACTCTGTTGCAAAGCTGCGTGAGCCAGAGGTGGATCTCATGTCTGAGGCAGCCAGGCTGGCTCCAGAGTCCCCACAGTCCATAGGGGTCACTAATCCCCCAAAGGCAAAGGGTCGTGGGGCCATGCTGCCAAACACTGAGCTGCAGGCCCCACTCAGGTGCGTCTGGGTGGCAGCTCCGAAACCAGTGGCACTGGCTTGACCAAAGGGAAAGCATGCTGGGCTGCTGCCTGCATCCTGCCTGACGCTGGCAGGGATGTGAAAGGTAGAGGCTGAGGGTGTCAGATCTACAGGGGCTGACTGTGTGGGACTGCTGAAGGCTGGCTGAGCTGGACTTGGTGCAGGAGTTGGGGATGATATTGCTGAGTTTCCAAATATCAGAGATCTATTGAAGCTCAGGCCCGCGGCTGGCTGGGGGAGCTCTTGTTTCTGCCTATCTGTTCCCCTAAAGGCAGGCTGGGGAGTGGCTGCTGGGGATAGTGGGAAAGTTGGCCCTGAGCTTGATCCCAAGGGAACTGTGAATGCTGAGGTTGGTTTAGACATACTGGAGGCCAGTGCAGGCTGGCTCGGGGTTGCCAGACCTGAGACTGGCCACAGGCTGTTCATACTCTGAAAACTGGCTGCGCTGTTGTTCGGGGATATCTGGCCAGCACTGGGAAGAACCTGGCTGAAGATGGTGAGTGAGTGTACAGAAGGACAGGTGTGTGGTGGGAACATGAAACCTGTGGCTGGTGAGAAGTTGGCCCTGAAGGCCCGGGCAGCCCCGAGAAGGAATGTGTGGCAAGTGGAAGGGGTGACGGAAGCATCGCTTAGGGCCTGGGGAGCGTTTACCACACCCACATCGAAAGGTAGCTTGGAAACAGTGTCTTTACATGTGCTGGCTTGAGTGGTGGACATGACAACTGAGGTGGCCTTGACCAGGCCATGGAAGAGATGGGGAGATGCCGGAGTAGTTAGAGGGGAGGTCTGCTTGCAAGGGAAAGGAGACATCATGGGCATAGTTTCAAGTGGGCCTATGCTGCCAAAGATAGGCTTGAAAATGGGAGTCGAGGTACCCAGTGTTGAAGATGCCGCTGTTGTGACGGGAATTCTGGAATAGAAGCAGCCTCTAATCTCACTATCGGGTGTGAGCCCCAAAGTGCATTTTGATATGTGGTCAGCCGAAGCTGCAGTAGGAGGTGCGGATGCGGGAAGATGGGGAGCTGGGCTACTCACCATTCCAAACAAATGGCTTTGTGTGGTGGGTGTTCCAGGGGTAGTGACAGGTGTTCCAGGGGTGGGTGTTCCAGGGGTAGTGGCAGGCAGGGCCTGGGGCAGGGAGGACTGGTCAGCCTGAGGGGTGGAATGTGGCCAGGTGGTGTCAGGTGGTGATGTGAGAGAAACAGGGGTCAGGAGGATGAAAGTAGCTTTGGATTCGGAGTCTGAAGAGGTGCCTGGAGGGGACTCTGATTGTGAGCACCCAAGTGGGGTCAGCAAGCAGGGTGTGTTTAGAGGTGACCCAGTCACACTAATTGCTTCTCCAGGAGATTGTGGGTGGGCCACAGGGCCTGGGGACTCCTGCATTTTCTGTAAGCCTTCCAGCTGAGGATGTGAGCCCTGTGCGGGAGCTGTCTCTGCAGAAGGTGGGGTGAGAGGCGGGGAAGTCTGAAGAATAGACTGATTCTCAGGATCAGAGACCATGGCGGGCTCGGTCATACCCTCTCTGCATTTGTTGTCCCATGTTAGTATAACCTTCTTCCCTCCAGCCAGATCCTCTTCAGGGAGCACATAACCAAGCTGTGGGGGTGGGGCAAGAGCCAGCAGGTTCTGGGGGCTAGGTGGAAGCAGTGGAATCTTCTGATTTTGCTGCCCAGATCTGCCAAATTCTGATATCAGGGCCTCTGGGGAGTGAGTCTGATGACCTTTTTCTTGCTTTTTCACCGGCCACTCTGGTGTCTGGAGGGATGCCCTGGAAACACTTCTCTTCTGGGAGAAATTTCTAGAAGAGCTGTAAGAGCTTGTAATCACATTTCTTTTGGAGCTGAGGGAGTCTCCGATGTGTGTGCTGCCCAAGGAGCTCATGGAGGAGCAACTGGGCCTCTTATTCAAGCTGTGGTTTGAGTTGCAAGAGTGGAGGCTTCTCTTCAGAGCCCCAGACCTGGGCACAAAAGAAGTGCGGGTTCCGTTTTTCATCAGGGGCTTAAATGCGGATGATCTGGTCTCTGAGCCTCTTCTCTTGCAGTCCAGACTCTCAGGGGAGAGCGGCTTCTGCAGCCTGGCCTTGCCTTTCGCGCTCTGTCTGATGGCCCGCAGCACTGTCTCCTTGGCGCACGGGTCTGGGGTCTTCTCCGCGAGCGATGACTCCGCGGAATTGATGACCTCCGCCGGGGACGTGGAGGGGGGAGCTCTGCGCTCCGGAGGCGCGATTTTGATGGTCACCGGGCTCCATGTTGCCCGGGGGTGCCGAAGAGACCAAATGCACCGCTTGAGGTAACTTTCCCACCAGTCGGAGGGCAGAGGCCCCAGGATGGAATTTGGGGGCCTCCTCATGGGAAAGCGCCTCCAAGCCTCATTGACTCTCCGCGCGGTGGGATTGTTAGGGTCCCAGTTTGGCGGCCTCCGCGCAGGTCTGTGCCGCGGGGCGGGGTGGGCGCGATGGACGTGCTGAACCCGGTGGACTTGGTGAAGGGGCTGAGCCGGCCGACGGTTCACCGACCTCTCGGGCAAGTCTGTGCGCACCTGGGCTGGGGACGGCGGCTGGGGTCCTGCCTTGCCCAGGTAAGTGCCCATGAAGAGCGATGAGGCCGCGTCGGTGACTTCGTTTCGAGGAGGTCTAGGGCACCCAAGGCTGCTCTTCTGCTGACTCAGCCCGAGTCGAAGTGCTAGAGTTCGGGTGACGGTTGGGATCCGGGCGCGAGGAAAGTGCCAGCGTCTCGGGGCGCTCCACGTCCCCCAGGTCCCGCAACCATAGGTGAGCGCCGCGTGGGAGCAGAGGACACGAGGGATAGCGGAGCCCGGGTTGGGCTCTCAGGGCTGTCGGAGAGGAAGCGCGCAGCCCCTGCCCCGGCGTCCGCAGAGCCAGTCTGGAACCCAGGGCCCAGGGTCTCAGAGGCGCGCAGAGCCAAAGTCCGCGCAAGCTGCATCTCTAGGCTCTGGCTGCAGCCCTGCAAGTTCAAGGTCGTGGCACGGATCGGTCCTCCTGCAGTTTCCAGGGAGTCCCCCTAGGGAGCGCTGTTCAGAGGGCGTCGGCGCGGCGCCCCGAAGCGCGCAGGATGAAGACCCGGGCAGGTGCATCTCTGCAGCGCAGCCGCAAGCAGCTCTGGAGGCCGAATTGGCACGTTAGGGGTTCCTGAGCTTCTCCTTTCGTGCAGCCCTTTCCTGTCCGCCGCAGGTAGGTGCCAGTCACCTGCAGGTGGACGACCACCGGACGCAGTCACCTCCCGGCTCCATCCAGGGTCCCCGCAACCAAGTTGGCCCTTTGGGTGTTTTTAGACTTTGGGTATGCAGGACCAGCGCCTTCTGGTGGGGCTTCGGGGCTTTCGGGCTCCGGAGCGCGCACCCGGGATGAGGACTCTACGCTGAACCTGAGCGCTCCACACCCCGGGTTTAGTCTGTGGTTGAGGCCGCCTCCAAGATCCCTCCACTCCACTGTCCCCACCTAGCGCCTGGAGAAGTGGGCAATCTCTGAACCGCGTTTGGGCAAAGGGGGTGTATAAAGGAACGCGTTCTCCAGCGACCTTGACGTGAACTTAAAGGTCACTTCAATCCGAGCCAGTTTTCTTGTTGGAAGAAATTGTTTTGGTAATCTTTTAAAAAGTTACTGAGTTTTTCACCGCGTCCCTCACCTCGCTGACCCTGATTTGGGATAAGTATTCAGCCACAAATTCACTTAGGTTATAGTATTTAACAAATTAACATTTGCATAAATATCAAAGTCGATTACTTGGTTTCTCCACAATAATTGTATCCAATTTAGTCGTCTATTCTTCCCCTTGAAAATAACCTATTTTCTAAGTTTAAGGAGTATTTAGAAAAAGCATTTTGTATTTAGAGTAGGTGATTACTGACAATTTTATTCATTCAGAATGTTGTTTTTGTACCGTTTTGTAAATCCGTAAATTTTAATATCTTCCTTTGTTTTTGATTAATTAATATGTTTTAGTCCATTTTTATTTATCGTAAGTATGTAAGTGGACTTAGAGAATTGTTATTCAGTGATTGAGATAACCATGGGCTTACACCTGGTGTCTGGAAGGTGAGTGCAGTTTGGGGGTTATAGATGCACTTGGCATTGACTCCCCTTTAAAAAGTCCAAGTTTGATTGTATAATAGTATAATAATGATGAGCTATGAGCTTTCATTAACTATGTTATATATAATTAAAATCTATGGCAAAATAGCACAAAAGTCCACAGGTTAATTTAAAATTCAGGAAAGGTGTTCTTGTCCTAAGTCACTTATCATTTGTAGGGAGTACAATTTATGTTAGACTTTCAGTCAAGAGTGCATTTGTAATTTGTAAGGCAACAGATTCAAAAAGAGCAAAAGAACATATAGTAATAAGGGTAGAGAAGGAGACATGGAATAATTTTAAAAACCTGATAATCAAAGAAAAGGAAAGAGAAAACGAACATAGACCCAGAATATATGGGAGAGGGTGGTAAAACAAAGGTAGACTTAAAAACAAATGTATCAGTAATTATATGAAATGTAAATAGGCAAACTATATCATTGAAATACAAAGATGGTAAGATCAGCAAAAATGGTAAGATCAGTAAAAATAAAATCCAATTACATGCAGTTAAAAGAGATACACCATAAATATAAAGGTAAATTAAGAATGAAATTATATTACTGAATCCGTGCTCCTAACATTTTGTTAAGGAGTTTAACATCTAAGTTAATGAGGGATATTAGTCTGTAGTTTTCTTCTCAGATCATTGTCTGGTTTTGGTGTTAGAGTAATGCACACCTCATAAAATTAGTAGAATTTTTTTCTTAAATATGAGGTAAGATTCACCTTTGAAGCAAGGTGAACCTGGAGTTTTCTTTGTGGGAAGGTTTTAAAGAATAAAATCAATGTATTGATAGCTGTGTTTACACAAGGCCTAGGGTGACAGGCTTTAAAAAAATTGTTCTCCACAACTTCTAAATATAATATTATTTACTAGCATTGACATAGGATTACGCAGTTTTCAGCAGATTTTTGAAAGGATTAAATATAGGGAGGCTATTCATTAGTCAGAGTAGAGTTAGAAATTGATTAACAAAAAAATACAATAAATCCCTCCAAATATTTCTAAAGTAAGTGATATAATTCTAAATAATGGAGGGGAGCATATAACGCACAATGGAAAATAGAATAAATTTTTAATTGAATTATAATTGAATATTACATATAAAAACATGTGAGTGGCAGCTAAAGTTATGTTTTCCAAGGTAGCACTGAATAACTTTCATTTCACTTGTTATAATTAATTCTTCTGATGTGAATCAAATTTGTATTCAGTAGCAGCAGACAATCCATCAAAACATCTTAAGGAGATAATAAATTTGAAAACCCTTTTACTGGTAGATACAACAGGAGTAAATGTGCAATTTCCTTCTCCATGAAATCACGTACAATAAACAAGACCACCTCGAAGGAAGTATTTCCTATTGCTGTTTTGATGGATACTTGGGGGGATGGAAGGAAACTGACACTTCAGATTGGTAGAAGACTCGTGGAGCTGTATAGAGGAAGATTGGTAGGATCTCAAAGGAAGTTGGGAAAAGAGTCAAACTAGAGAAGGATTTTCAGACAGGTTAATTTTGCGGTTAGTTAAATGTAGAAGTTGTAGAAATACGTCATACGTCTTTTTGGGATAAAAAGAAAAGACCACTTAGCAGAGGATGGTTTCGATCCATCGACCTCTGGGTTATGGGCCCAGCACGCTTCCGCTGCGCCACTCTGCTAGACGGCTTCGGTATGTCCTTTTTTCTCTCTTCAATGATAAAGATAAAACTTTTCCTCTAAGAAAAAGTTCATTTTCTATTCCCTTCCCCTCCAGTGACTTTCTCAGTGCCCCCCTCATCTCCCAGCTAGTCAGAGACTCTACACAACCAGACGGTCCCGGACCCTCTTCTCCAGGTCTGCTCTTTGGACCCTACAAACGAGTCTGGGGTGGGAAATCTCTTCCCCCCACAGGACCTGCTAGTTGTGGGGAGCCAGGCGAGGTAGAGCGCGCCCCGGAATTCTGGCCCCGCCCTTCTCGGGCAGAATCCGAGCGGTCGCTGCCGCTCCCTGCGAGAAATCCTGTCAACCACCTCTTTTGCCTCCGGTAAGAGATAAAATCTCCTAGACGACCCTTTAGATAAAAGAGAGGCTTTTTTAATTTGCCTCCAAGGGCGCACGATTTTCAAAAGGAACGGTGCCCCTGGAATAGAATAAATTGAATTTATTGCCCAAATTCTTACATGGCAGCCACAATTATTACATGGCAGCCCCTCTTGGGGCTGTTTTGGTTAAAAATAAAGAAAGGAAAGTGAAGGAAAACAAACAAAAAACTAAAGATAGGCTCCCCCTCTCCCGAGGGGAGCAACTCGTGTGTGTGTGGGGGGGTGTGTCTCTTGATTGCAGCTGCCTCTGTGGTGACGCTGGACAGGCGTGTGGAGGTTGTAAACCTGCCCCCTCGCCGCGCCAGCTTCTGGATGACAAGCAGGTGTGCTGGAGCAGCCCACGGCTAGGGCCCGGCTTGCAGGCTAGTCTTATTTTTCCCTCCTTTTACTGCATTCTCCGTCCACGATGAACTCTAAGGGCGGCCTCGGCTGCATTTTCTCTCGTGGTGGAGTGGCAAGCGTAGCTGCTCGCACAGCCCAGCACCCTCATCCCATCCCAGCCACCTGCACGCCAGTTGGGAGCAGAATTGGGGGCGCCCTCTGGGTCCCCCACTTCTTGCCGCTGGAGCACTGTCCGGGGTCCTTGGAACTAGCGCCTCCTCGCGGATATAGGAAAATCTTTGTTTGTCACTTCGGGCCAATTTCAGGCTTTCTGCGTTGCCTGCAAGGAAGCTCTCGCTTGGAACAGACTTGACTTTGGAGCTCAGGCCGTCTAGGTGGGATGAAGCTCCTGTCAGTGAAGGTTTCCTCATGCCAAGACGAGGACAGGGGTGGTCTTGAGTTCCGTTGCAATTTGTTTTCCCAGGCTTACCGGGGGAAGGAACCCAGAGCCAGAGAACCTGGCAATAGGCAGCAGGTTTAAGTCTCCAGGGATATTCTGAATCCAGGGAGAATGAAACTCGATTATTCCTTTTGGTCTTTTATCATCCCTGATCCACGTCGCCTCGAGGAGATGCTGCATCTTCAAATTGTGGCCTCTCAAAATCAGTGTCTTTTCAAACTTTTCTGACTGCCACGTAGTATCAGAAATATGTTTACAATCACAAACACACATCTTTGTATTCATAGATCTATTTGATTCTGTCTGTCTTGCTATCTGTGGAGAAAGACACACACACGCAGTGCCAGGCAATTTTCACCAAACCATATTTTGCTACATGGAGTTTATTCTGATATTTCCTTTTCTTATTCTATTCCACGTCATTCGTCACAATACCAGTTGTGAGCTTTTCTTTTATATGGATTTTATGCCCATTCACCTCTGAGTCACCAGATGATTTGAAAAGCACCCTCGTGTATATAATGGTGTTAGAAATAGCTCAGCCTTCTAGAGTTAAATAATGGATTGGAAGACAGTGACCTTTCCATTCTGGTGGGACCAGTAGTCAAGGGATTAAGAAAAGGGTTAGATACCACGAGCTTTTTTTGGTATCACACAGCAGTCAGTGTTATCTGAGAAAGAGTACTCTCCTAGGTTCCTATCTGCATAGTCCTGCAAGGGATGCAGAAAAATAACACTTACTCTATGGTACTTTCTTAATCCTTATTTCCCCCACCACCACCACCACTATAGTATATTTGTAAGGTGTTTTCTTTCCTCTTTATGTGTTGAAGGATTCTTGCCTCTGTAGCTAAGTACATATTGGTCCTTACCCCTTAGAATATATTTTGCTGTTTATTCCCCTATTTTATCATTTTCAACATAATATTCTGATGTGGCTTCCTCTGCTTGGAGAATTCTTACCTCAGGTATCTATTAGATTTATCCTCTCACCTCTTTGAGCCTCTGTTTTAATATCAGAACCAATGGATTCAAAGTCTGGATAGATGCAGATTGCCCTTCCCCATTTTCTGTGGCTACTTCTCAGAGATTTGTATATTAAGTTTCCTTATGTTTCTGCTAGGATGAGGAATTCTCCCCTATCTTGGCTGTGTTTGCTGTCACAGTACAGTCTCTTGCAATGTTCTGTTCATCTAGTGTTTACCCTTGTCAATAGCTGTTTGTGGCTCTCTAGCATCTGTTGGTTATTTGTGTACTGGACATTTGAATCTTAAAAATATTTGGGTTCATTTGAAATTCTTGGAGACATGACTCATCTCATTTCATTCCCACACCAAAATAACAGGAAGTAAACACCTTCTTACATTTTTAAATAATATAAATTCCTGGGTTTTAAAGCTAGAGAGTGACGACATATACTGGATGAGTCAGTCTATCCGCATGATTCTTTAGTGCCATTTTCTGAAGCAGATGCATATCCAGTAGATATATTAATGTGTAATAAGCAGATCTTCAACACTGTGACAATTACCAGAAGTCAATCCACGTGTCTTTCACCAGGCCTCTGATCTCTAATCCACAAATCTTGCTCTTTTCAGATTTCTGACCTTCGAGCTAACCAATCCCAGTCACCAGGACTCCATATACAGCCTTATAGCAGGCCGTTTCTCTCTCCACCTACAGTGACTGATCAAATGAGACATCTGGCAGGATTTCTTTTCACCACTATCTTTCAGGGGCACTTCTGAGTGGGAGATTGTGCAGCTGATACAAACATCAGTTCACCTATCTGTAACCAAGTGATTTGATTAACTAGGACTCTTCTATACCCCTATTTCACCCCATAGAATGGTTCTTAAGACTTCTCTAATATGCCATATTTGACATTTCCACTCACATTTCATTAGTCAAATCAAGTCACATGGATGTAGAATGAAGTGTATATATAATTTCATTTTGAAATAATTGTAAGTTCATACCGAAATTGTAAATATAATACAGAGAGGTTTTATGTACTCTTCACCCAGTTCCCCCCAGATTTCCTGTTATGTGTTTCTTCTAAAAGTTTTGTGCCTCAGTTTAAATAAATGAACCATTTTTAGTTATTTTTTTCAATAAATTGTGAAATTGAGATTCACTATATATATTTTTTTGATCTGTGGATATCCGTTGCTCCAACAGCATTTTTGGGGAAAGACTAAGACTTTCCTTCCTTTTCTGAATTGTTTGTTGTTTCTGAATTGTTTTAGGTGCATTAGGATTTTGACAGAAGGAAGGGAAAGTGTATTTCTAAAGAAACACACAATCCGAATCATCAACTGAACCATTAGTTTTATCATTATCCACAATTACAGAAATGAACAATAAAATGGCCTGATATTTCTGGGTATGTTGAATATTTCACCTCAAGACCACACTGTAGTATTTGTCAAAGATGCCTTATCATTTGCTTGTCATGAGAATGTGTTGTTTCTTGGTTTGGAGGACTTTCTGTGCCTGCCAATAATAGCTCAGTCATGAGAGGGAAGAACTGAAAATCTAAAGGTCTTGAGTTTTGACATTGTAAATCCTTTATGCAATTAATACAGCTTGGAGTTCCTTTTCTCCAAGACCTAGTCTAGAAGGAAAACTCTCTTAGATTGTAACGTTTTTGTACCATGATCCTCAGAAGGTCTCCAGGCTTAAAAATTGCTGCTGGGAATAGAATAGAAATGAAAGGTTGAAGATAACTGACTTCTTGATGTTTTCTTGTGCTAAACAAGTAAAAACAGCTCATGTTTAACCCAAATTCCCTTTTGTAAGGCAGAACTCCCCCCAAGGCAGGGGAACAAAGTTATCAGTGCCTGAACAGGGACTTGAACGCTGGACCCTCAGATCAAAAGTCCAGTGCTCTACCAACTGAGCTACCCAGGCTCCTTCTAAATTGGCTTCTACATACACAGCAATAAAATAAATGACTAGTTCAATTCTGTAATGCAGTAGATTCCTTCTTGTGCCATGAAAAGCAACTGAGCAGATGTGTATCCACAAAGTCCATTCACCCAGCTTTTCTTCAGGTCAGTTAAGAAGGGATGTAAATGACTCCAAGACAACAATCCTTATTTGAGTACAGTTGTAGAAGGGGAAATAAACAAAAGAAACCATCTGCTGCAGTATTTATTGAATGCCTAATTAAAGCTGTCAGTTCCATTTACTGAGCCCCAAGAAACGACCAAAAATGATACAGAGAGGCATAAAGATGGAAGGAAGATTCTTGAGTGCCACTGGTTTTGGGGCTTATCTCAGGGAGTTGGGTTTTGGAAGTTTCTGCACATCAGGCTCCTGCCCTTTTTGGCCCAAGAATCATACCGCTACACACCAAGTATGAACTTCACCCCACACTGAACCATCTAGAAGTCACATAAACATTGCCCACCATAGCCAAAGCTTAAATCCCTCCAATTTATCCCCCCACAATGTCTGTGGTTACTCCTTCAAGCAGGTAAATTCTTGATTGTTCCATGTCCTCTTGCTTTTGAACTTCATGGTTGCATCTCCCCTGGTGTTCCTTGTCAGTTCCTACCTGTCCTTTGGGTCACAGTTCAGGCATTATGCTTTACCTCCTTCTGGGAGCTTTAGAGGACTCCCCAGGACTGATGTAGAAGTTTCTGAACTACACCTAGGATTCCTGAGGTAATTTCAATTCTATGAATAGCATTTTTTAATTTTTTTAAAAAAATTAAAAAATGCTATGAATAGCATTTTTTAATTTTTTTAAAATTTATTTATTTTATGCATACAAGAGCCAGGGTGTAGGCGGGTGAGAGGATTCACCAGAGAGTGTGGGGAACAGAACACACAGATTGACTAAGATACGCTGCTAAGGGGAGCAGTAGGCAAGTCAGGAGAGGTCTGCTGCACCTTGTGAGTTAGCTCCCTGGCCGGGGATCGAACTCATGCTGCAGTGGCTGCTGGTAGCTTCGTAGTGATGTGACTTAATCCCCTGTGCCACCAGGGAGGCCCCTGAATAGCATTTATTACATGCTGTGTTATAACTATCGCTTGTGTGGTGTATACGCTAATGTCTATTTCTATCTTGAATAGCTCCTGCAAACTTCAGGTTGACACATGCAACCACTTTCTCCACACACATTTAAAATCACCAGAAACCATCTAAAATCACCAAAAACCGAACTCTTGACCTTTCACCCAAGCTTGCTCCTCACCAGTCTTCCTCATCTAAATAACAGCTACTCCAACTGTGCAGTGATCTAGGAATTTTCTTTTGCTTATATCCTACATCCTAGCATCATGCCACCTTCAAAACATATCCTTAATCTAACCACTTTTTCACTACTTCCATCACTACCACACTAAAAAATCTATCAACTCTCACATAGATGTTTGCAATAGACTCTCCACTAGTTTTCCTGCTTCTATCTATTCTTGGCCCCTTCCTGTCTATTCTAAACACAGGAGTAGTACAACATTCTCTAGAAGTTCAAAACCTTCCAGAGGTTTCCCGCTCATTCTGTATAAAAGCCAACTGCCAGGAGGGTTTGCCCCTCTCTTCTCTTCCCCTTCTAATCTCCAGCTACACTTGTCGCTTGCTCTTCATCAAACTAATCAGACCTACTTCTGCCTCAAGTCTTTGCATCTGTTGTTTCCTCTATCTGGAATCCTCTTTCTCCAAATATATGCCTACCTTATTTCCTCATATTCTTCAACTCTTTGCTGAAATCTTACCCATTCTACATATTTAACATTCCAAAACATTAAACATCACCTAATCACCCCCTCATCTTCCCAGGTTTTTTTCCCCATGGAAATGTGGGAGGTCCCATGGGTGAAGATATGGTGGTATGTGTCCATCTGATGCCAGATGAGAGAAGGGGCCTGTGGATACATTCTTCAAAAACACTGACCCTAAGCCACCAGTAGGTGTGCTCAACTACTCTTCTCTGATTGTTGATGCAAAGCCACCCTGACTTCTCCACAAGCTGAACGATACCACCCACCTAGTGATTGCCAACAGGGATCTGCACCCACTCGCCTGTGTGCTAGTGAGCATGGCCACTTATTCCATACTGTGCTTGTTAGGGTGTTTTGTTTTTGTTTTTGTTTTTACTCATACTGTGTTTGGAAGAGTAGATCCTATTCTTTGGAAGAATAGACCTGTTGATCATGACTATTTGGTAGGATCCTCTGATAAACATCAGCAGGACCTAGAGCCATTGTAATGGGAAGATTTTTTTTTCTAAAGAATCTTTCCTTTTTTCTTTTTTTTTAAATGCTTATTTATTTTTATACAAGAACTGGGGTACAGGCCAGAGGCACCAGAGGGTGAGAGGATTCACCAGAGAGAGAGCAGGCACACTGACCAAAATACACTGCGGAGGGGAATAGCGGGCAAGACAAGAGAGGTCTGCCGCACATGTGGGTATCTCCCTGGCCAGCTGGAAATTGAACTGGCCCTGCAGAGGCTGTGGACAGCTTCACAGTGCTGCGCTCAACCTGCAGCGCCACTGGGGAGGCCCTGTAATGGGAAGATTTTTAATTATTGACTCAAGTACACCTCAGTCAACCTGACTTCAAAAAACTGTTCTTTGGCAAGTTAACAGTTCCAGTTAACCTAGGATTCAGGGTCATTTTATTTTATTGTTTAATAGAAAGGCTAGCTCCTACTCTCTCTGAGCCTACCATTTTATGACTGACTCAATAATGTGTAACTTATGTTATCACTGAGGTCCTAGCATTACAGTAGCATTCATATAAGTTTTTATATATGTAAAATATACTGTTACAGTGATACAATTGCAACAATAATAAAGTGCCTACAAGTACCTAGCCCTTTCACATATCATCTCATTTCATCCCTAAGGTAACTCTGATATAGGCTATCTTGTTCCTGTTTTGCAGATGAAGAACCTAACTTTGAGAAGTTATATTTTCTTATTAAAGTTTCCAAAACTGGTAATTGGAGGAACTGATGCTCTTAACAATTTGATTCATACTCTTCTGAGGTTTTAAACAACACCATGCTACAGGTCCTCAAATAATGTTATTTTGCTCAAGTCATTTTTTTCCAAAGATTTATTTTATTTATTTATGCATACAAGAGCTGGGGTAGAGGCCATCGGTGGGGTGGGGGAGAGAGGCTTCACTAGAGACAGAGTGGGGAGCAGAACAGGTGGACTGACTGAAATACACTGTGGAGAGGAGCAGTGGGCAAGACAGGAGAGGTCTGCTGCACCATGTGGATCACCTCCCTGGCTGGGGATGGAACTCGTGCTGCAGTGGCTGCGGATAGCATCATCGTGCTGAGACTTAACCCCTTGCACCACCAGGGAGGCCCTCAAGTCTTATTGTTATAACATTGATAAGAAAAAACAATCCTGGCAGATGTTGAACAAAAAAACACTATCTTAGGACCTGCTTCAGATGTGTTGTTTCACTTAAATTCATGGTTTCAAAGAACTTATCGACAATGTTAAGTGAGGACTTACTGTATTCTTAAGATAGCAACTTTCTTACTGCAATAATTCATTGCATTTATGCTATTTACCTCACTTTTCATTAGAATTCATGATTTGCTGAATTTTGAAGAGCCAAGGCAAGGATGAGAAATAGCCTAGATGGCATGTGGCCTTTATCTTTGCTAAATCCTTAATAACTACAATGCCTTCACATTGTGAATCATGTTTGATGTAGAATAAATCAGTCACAATTTAAGAATCACATCGACAGAAGCCTGCATTAGTAATCAATATAATAAATATAGATCTTAAAAATCAACTAACCAGGGTTTCCAACTTACCATGTGAGTAATTGAAGACTAAAGAGGTAAAGTGACTTATCCCAAAGCAAAAACACTTAGTGAGTAGCTGAGCTGTGATTAGAATCCAGGAATTCTATAATCAGAAGTATACCTCTTGCCCACTCTCCTGTCTTGCTCACTGCTCCTCTCAGTGTATTTCAGTCAGTCCACCTGTTCTGCTCCCCACTCTGTCTCTGGTGAATCCTCTCACCACCACCCCCACCCATTCCACCGATGACCTCTACCCCTATACCCTTTTCCCTAAACTGTGTGGCCATTTTAGGTAGTTGACAGTTTTCAGAATCTCTCTGTTTCTCTGGGAGGGGTCTTCATATTAAATGAACTCCCAAGGCATTTAGAGGATTTCTCTCCAGTATGAGATTTTTTTTAAATATTCAACAGAAGAATTCTGTCTTAAAGGTTATCCTACATTCATTGTGCATATTTGCTTTCTCTCCTCTATGAATTTCCTCTATGAATTTTCTAAGATATGTGCTCTGATTAAAGGTTTTTCCACATTCATAGAGTTACATTCATAGAGTTTCTCTTCAGTATGAGTTTTCTGAGGTTTATTAAGGTCTGTCCTCTGGCTGGAGGCTTTGCCATATTTACATAAGGTTTCTCTCCAGTATATATGATCTGGGGTTGATAAGGCCTGAGCATTAACTAAAGGCTTTTCTGCATTCATTACATTGATAGGATTTTTCACCAGTGTGAGTTTTTTGGTGACTTGTGAGCTTTGTACTCTCACTAAAGGCTTTTCCACATACATTACATTTATAGGGCTTCTCTCCTATGTGAATTCTCTGATGTTGAATAGGTGCTGACCTCTCACTGAAGGCTTTTCCAGTCATTGAATTTATTGGGCTTTTCTCCAGTATGAATTCTCTCATGCTGAGTAAGTGCTAAACGAAACGGAAAGTTTCCCCATAAACATTACATTTATAAGGGCTCTCTCGATAGTAAGTCCTCGGATGTTGACTATGTCCCGAGAGGTCACTAAAAGTTTTCATACATTTGTTACACTTGTAGGACTTTTCTCCAGTGTGAACCCTCATGTACTGTGTGAGGAATGAATTCTGGGTGAAAGTTTTTTCACATTCATTAAATTTATATGGCTTCTTCCCTGAGTGACCTCTCTGATGTTGAGTAAGTTATATACTCCGCTGAAGGATTTTCCACATTACTTACATTTATAGGATTTTCTTCCACCGTGAGTTCTTTGATGCTGGATAAGCGCTGAACAGTCACTAAAGGCACTCCCACAGTCACTGCATTTGTATAGTTTCTCCCCGCTCTGTATTCTGTGTTGTTGAATGAGGTCTGAACCATATCTGAAAACCTTTTCACAGTCATCACATTCACAAGACTTCATGACAATATGAATGATATGATGTCTAATGAGAGCTGAGTGATCAATGAAGACTTTCCCACATTCATTACATTCATTGGGCTTTTCTCCGGCGTGAATGCTTTGATGTTGTAAAAGATGTGCTCGCCCACAAAGTTATAGTAATCTAAACAGGATGGATGGTACTAGACTATGAATAGAAAGGAGAGTCCAGAAAAAAATATTGAGTTTGACTAGCACTAAGGTCCTTCAGATGGGAAAGGACAACCTTTTCAACAAATGGTTAGAGAAAAACTGAATATCCACATGCAAACTAATGCAGTATGTTTAGTTTACACCGAACACAAAATGAACTGAAAACATCAAAGATTTCAGTGTAAAACGATAAAACACAGGTAAAAATATTCCTGATTCTGGGCCAAACAATAAATTCTGAAGTAAGACACCAACAGCACAGGCATTGAAAAAACAATTAATTGGACTTCATCAAAATTTAAAAATTTTTGACAGCTCTCCTGCCCACTTGTGTCTACGCAGGCATCTCTCTTTCTTTTTTTTCCTCAATAAACTTGCCATGTGCTGATGAATGGGATAAAAAGTTTTTTTTTTTTAACTTTTTAGAGGGAATAGGAGGAGGGAGGAGGAGATGGGAGATGGGAAAGGAGGCAGATGGGTAGTGGCAGCAGTGGTTTGGTGGAGGGTGGGTGAGTGAAACAGGTGCACATGTGGAAGAGCAAAAATATAACCAAAAAAACAATTAAAAATTTTTAAAAATTTATAATTTTTGTGCATCAAAGGACGCTCCCAAAGACGAAAAATACAATCAACAGAATGGGAAAAAATATATGTAAAGCATATATCTGATAAGCAATTCTTTTTTTATAAGAATATATAAAAATATATTCTTGTATAAAATACATATATTTTATATACATAAAATGTCAGAATATATAAAAATATATATATCAGAATATATAAAAAATCAGAATATATAAAAACTTTCACACCTCAACAACAAAAAATCCAATTTAAAAATGGGCAAAGGAAACAAAATAAAATAAAAATGGTCAAAGAATTTGAATAGATATTTCTCCAAACAAGCTGCACAAATAGGCTCATGACAAGATTCTCAGCATCACTAGCCATTACAGAAATGCAAATCAAAACCACAAGCAGACACCACTTCATACTCTTAGGATGGCTGTAATAAAAAACAGAAACTAAATCCAAAATAGAAAATAATAAGTGTTAAGATGTGGGAAAATTGGAACCTGCGTGCATTGCTGTTTGTAATGTAAAATGGTGTATTCACTGTGGAAACCAATTTGGCGGTTTCTCAAATAGTTGAACATAGCATTACAGATGACACAGCAATTCCACTCTTAGATACATGCCCAACAGAATTGAAAACAGGGACTCATAAACAATGTCCACTGCAGCACTATCCACAATAGCTAGAAACAACCCATGTTCAATAAGTGATAAAAGGAAAAACAAAACTTGTCATATACATACAATGGAATATTTTTCAGTCATAAAAACCTTGAAAGCATTATAATTGAAATAAGCCAGACATTAAAAGCCAAATATTGGGTTTGATGTAAGGGTTCCACTCACACACAGTATCTACATTAGGCAAGTTTTTAGAGACATAAATGGAGGCCACTACAGGTTGGGAGGAGAGAGTAATGGGGATTGAGTGTTCAATGGGCTCAGGGTTTCTTTTGGGGTGATGAAAATATCCTGGAATTAGATAGTGGTGGTGTTTGCATAATGTTGTGAACATACTAAAAATCCCATTTACCCTTCAAATGGTTAAAATGGCAACATTGATGTTCTGTATATTTTAATTAAAAATATAATTGAAATGTTAAAATTGTAATTAAAATATTTTAGAAATTATAAAATTAGATTGTCTCAGGTTCCTTATAGCTTTACCATTTGGATCCTGCTCCTCATACTTCATGCTTCAGTAAACCTGGATTTTTTTTTCAGATTTATTTATTTATGCATACAAGAACTGGGGTGCAGGCCAGAGGTGTGTGTGGGGATGAGAGGATTCACCAGAGACAGAGTGGGGAGCAGAACAGGCAGACTAACTGAAATACACTGCTGAGGGGAGCAGCAGGTGAGTCAGGGGAGGTCTGCTGCGCCATGTGGGTATCTCCCTGGCCAGGGATCGAACTTGTGCTGCAGTGGCTGCGGACAGCTTCATAAAAACCTGGATTATTCTATGGTACTTGCACACAGCTGTCATATACCTAACCCACAGATTTCACATCCTTCCCATTCTTTCAGTTTACAAACATTTTTATAGATTGCCCTCTGCTCTATTTGCCATTAACTCTTTTCTAAACCAACCCATCTCATTGTCGCTGCTATACCACTTTGCATTAAATTTATCTGTAGAAAGGTGTTTTCCTTTATATCTACTGCATCAGGGTAAAGTCCTGATTTTATTCTTTATGTCTCTTGATGGATATTGAGAAATAACCTGCATTTAATTTGAAGTTAAACATCTAGACTGCAAAAACTCTGTTTCTCCAGAGATGGACTGGGGAGCACCTGCGACAGAATCGTCTGGATGCACGTTGAAAAATGCAGTGTTGCTGGGACCTCCCTCAGACCAGTGAGTCAGTCTCTTGAGTATGGAGCCTGGGAAGCTGTCTTTTGGCCATCTCCCTGGGTACGCTAAACTATTTAACAACCACTGGCTTGGGTTATACTTGACAGAATCTCTCAAGATCTTCCGGCGCTCTAAAAGACCTGCTTTCTCGGGCCTCTGGGGCCAGCTTCCCAATCTCTGAACTCCCCAGGCACCCGAGGAGGGGCTTTGCCAGACCACCCGCCGAGTTTGAGCACCACCGGGCGGTCCCGGCTCTCGAGCGCAGGCGCAGAGCCGCGCCGCCCGAGTGTTTCCTTGTGTTCTTGTCCGTCCTCTAACCGGTCGTGTAAACCTGAAGAATTAGGTCCGCGCGGCAGATCGGGAAGTGACCAAGCCCCACTCTGACCAGGCCATGATCAGGACTCCGAGTGGAAACGCGACCCCGGGACCCCGGGCGCCCTGGGGCCGCAGGCCCGCGCAGGGGCTTCCTAAAATCCTTCCGGCTTCCCCGAGCCCGGTGCGCGCAGGTTCCGTGGAAACTCGGGTCCCGCCCGGGGCGTGTCCCGGTGCTCGCCGGGAGGGCTGTGGGTGAGTGGGACGTGAAGGGCCTGCGGGCCGGGCTGGGCTGGGGGGCGGTCTGGAGGCTCCGGGAAGACGGGCAAATAGGGTGTGGATGGTTTGGTGGCAGATCGGGCAGGGGGCATCTCGGTGGGGCTCGGTGTGGTCGCTCTGCGGCGCTGACAGCGGGCGGTGAGCTCCAGGGCGGCCCGGGAGATGGAAAATATCGAGGTGCGCTCTGCACCCCTCGACCTGGGCGACCGCGGGCTTCGATACCGGAGAGTTTCCCAGGTGCTTACTGTGTGCCATGCTCCGCAATTGCGAGTTTTTACCTGCATTAACTCATTTAATCCTGCCATTAAGTCCATGTGATGTACTGTTATTATCCCATGTTACAGATGAGAAAATAGAGGCACACAGAGATCCAGTACCTTCTTCGAAGTTACAGAGCTTGTGAGTAACTTTATTGTGTGGTTTTGATAATGAGAGTTGATCCTTGAACATAGTAAATGTTAATTATTTGTTGGTTGAAATCTGTATATCGAATTCTGGGAACTTAATATTTTGAGCCAATTTCTAGGAACTCTATTGCCCAAAGACTACCTCTTGGTAGCCCTGGAGACCTGGTTTTCTCTGATCTGGGGTTGAACTGAGGCTGCCGAGTCTCTTCTACGGATTCCTTTGTGTGTTGGCAAAGGTTCCAGGAAACAATCAGCTCCATACTAGAAAGCAGCGCACCTAGACTAGAGCGATTACAGAATCTTCAGACCCTGTTTCCTTCTGAATGACAGTTTTAAAGGGACTAGAAATAGGGGAGAATTCTTCCTGAATTAGGAATTGATTATGAGGAAGTGGCATGATCCAAAGATTATCAGATGGTTAGGGTGACAGAAGTTGGCCAGTGCTGTTAGGGCTGGAAAGTTAAGATCTGATAAAGGGCAGATTGGGTACTGTACTTGAGAGAATAATTATTTGGTAGGGATACAGTGTCCATAGAGTACTAAGGTGTCTAAGTAACATCTGAGGAAGGAAGGAGGAAAAGAGAAAAGGAAAGGAACCATGTTGGCAGAACCTCTTAGATGGATCCTGGGTAAATATAAATATAGATCCCTGACCTTGTGGAGAGAGGACTTTCTAACCTCTCTGAATTATATCTTGGGGCTTCTGCTGAGACTTTTGTCACATCCACTGGCCCTCCTTTCCCCATTTCATGTGCATTCTGTCAAGCTAGGAAAAAGAACATGTCTGTCCATACTTTAGAGCAGCAGCTCTTGAAAGAAGCCTCATGAATTTTTTGAGATCATCTTTCCTTAATGGACATGATCACAAATTTAAAATTAATTCATTTGAAGTCAGCAATAATATAAGCTCATGTTATACAAAATATGTACATACTTTGCCTTCTTTTAACTTGTAGCATTCACAGAAGCTTATGAAGAGAGACAAGCAGTACTAGCAATGACGTTTTAAGCTTGGAACCACATTTTTCAAAAGGTGAGTGACTTGCTTGGGGATGCACAAGCTTATGTTAGGGGCGCAGTGTCAGCTGCCTTCTTTCTCAGCCCTCAGGAGGAAGTAGGGAATTTTTGCCCTACTCACTTTTATCTTATACCCATGAGAGGAAATTGATAGAGTAGATTATATGCCCCCTCATATCACCTAGCGTATGGACTTGGCCCATACTTTTATCATTAAAGAACTAGGGACCTAAACCCAAATATAAGTGTCTATTGTCCTTTTCTTTGACTCTGAGAGAAAGTGGGATTACTTTTGGACATTTCTTTTATTCCTTAGAGTTGCTTGCTATTGGCCAGATGTAGACATCATTAGACCTATTTCGACCTTTGCCTTTGACCAAAAAGAAAGCCAGGAAGAGGTAGAAGGGAAAAGCAAGTATTTATCTCACTATAAGATCTGCATCTCACTTAAGGATTCTTCCTTCTTTCTGAACATTTGTATCATCTGAACACATCTGTTTCTTCTAGTAGAACTTCCCTTCCTAGGTGAGTCTGTCAAATTTTGCACAGGGTGGGACTATTCTCTGTTTGCTTGTTGACTACTCTTAATGTCTTCCTTAGTACCTCCTTGTTCTAGTTAATCATTCAGTTATTGAAAAACAGGCTTATTGGCCTGTTTCTTGAATGGTTTCTTCTGAAACATGTACCTTAGTTAAGAGATTTGAGAGTCAGTTTATTCTATTCTTATCCCTTGGTCTAGGCAGCTGGGTATGTCTCCCAGAATTTGGAATCTAAAATTAAACTCCAAGAACCATATTGCATTGAACCAAACAATCAAGTCTAACATCTCAGACAGAAGACCAAGAAGGAGACATGAAAGCAGATTAATTATTTCCCCCTGGCTTTTACGTAACTACAAACAGAGCTATGACCAAAATCCAAATAATTTGGGTAAGTGCTTATACCCAGGGCCTCTGATATCTCACTGTTTCATGCCAAGGATGCCACTTAGCACTGTATTGGGGGCTGAAAAATTTAATCCTTAGGTTACATAGATAGGGCTTTTAGCATAGATGGGACTTATTGCAGCCTTTCAGGGTGATCCTCTCTCAGAGGGAGTCATTCTAAACCTCATGGTTCTCTGGAATCAAGGTCATGTGGATGCCTGAGATCTAGATTACTTGGTCATTTAGGGAATGGAACAGAAAGTGTGACTAGGATGTTCTTTCTCTGCCTGTTGGGAAGCAATAAGGATTATGTAGGGTATGAGTCTGATTTCAGGATTTATCACTTCACCTTGGTCCCAATTACCTAGCCTTTCTTTGCCTCAAGTTCTTCACTTGCATTGTGGGATTAATAATATTGCCCCTCTCATCACTGAGGCATGAATGAGTCAATATTCATAAAATGCTGAGATGAAGAGACCCAAAGAAAGGCCTTTTCCAGGCGCTCACCTTAAAGTTTTTGTTTTAGTTTTAATAGAGGAAGTTTCCTCCATGTTTTTTCTATGTCTATCATATGAGTCACAGACACAAACACACAATGCAGTCATGCATGTCATGTCTGAAATGAAAAAACTACATTTTTTCACTCATTATTTTTCACATAGTATGCAAGAGTGTATACTCAACAGTACACATGTATTAGGTGAGTTATAGGTAATTTAACATTGAATAGGCACAGTTTACTAGTCATCAAGATATTAATAAGCATGAGAGTGAATCTTCAGCTTCAAATTGGCCACCTCCTTTGACCTCTGTGCCAGTTCTTTCTTGCTGAGAATATTCTACCTACTTTTAAGGTGTCCTACATCTTAATATTTAAAGCTCTATTAGGTTCTAGTCTTAGGTAACCATATTAACAGCTCCTTTGAAAGTCTGGCAGAATAAGGGGACACTCTTTGTTTTCCAGGAATGCCCCTCATCATGCCTTCTACTAAAATCCAAATGCTGGGCCTCTTTGGTGGTGAAGGGGTTAGAGTCTCAGCACTATCAGGCTGTTGCCAGCCACTGTGGCTTGAGTTCTATCCCTGGGCAGGGAGTTCTATCCCTGGGCAGTGGGTTCCGCCTGTCTTGCCCACTGTTCCCCTCAGCAGTGTATTTTAGTGGATCCTCCTGTTCTGCTCCCCTCACGCTCTGGTAAATCCTCTCATGCCACGCACCTCTGGCCTACACCCCAGTCCTTGTACACATAAATAAAAATAAATCTTAAAGAAAAATAAATAAAATCCAATTGCATTATCAGATGTTAGTTTGGAGAGGTGTTGGGTTGAGAGCAGGGTCTTTGGGTTATCTCTGAAAAAAGTTTCATCAGATCTCCCCTTTCAGCGGCACCTAATGAGTTTTCCCAGGCCAGTTTCCCCATAAGGCAGAGACATTTCGTTATATACAGTAGGGCAGGTTTATTATGAAAAAAAGGGACTGAAGTATAGGATGCTCGCACAGACACAAGTGGGCAGAAAGAACTGCCCCTGAATGGGACAGACTTGTTCAAAGAGACACCTCCATAGTCCAGGCTAGAAGCCCGAGCCCGGGAAGGAGCTGTCTCTGCTGCTTTGCAAAGGTAGAAGATGGGTGAAGAGAAGCACCTGCTGGGCACAGGCAGGCAGGGTAGCTGCACCTTACCAGGGCAGAAACTACACTGTTAGTCTTCTCTTTGGGAGAGGTTCATTCCTTGTGGGATTGTTAACTGCTTTTAAATTCAATATATCAGGGTTTGCACCTAAGGATTTTTTAAAAAGATTTATTTATTTATACATACAAGAACTGGGGTGTAGGCCAGAGGTGTGGAGGGTGAGAGGATTCACCAGAGAGCAGAGCAGGCAGATCTACTGAAATACACTGCTGAGTGGAGCAGTAGGCAAGATTGGAGAGGTCTACTCTGCCATGTGGGTCACCTCCCTGCCTGGGGATCCAACTCATGCTACAGTGTCTGGCAATAGCTTGATAGCACTGAGACTTTAACCCCTGTGCCACCAGGGAGGCCCCTAAGGATTTTTTCTATATGTGGTTTGACTGGGTAGATTTAAAAGGACCAATGACCCCAAACCTCCATATCCCCACCACTGGTCTGAGCCTTGGTCTGCACCTCCAGACACTTTACTTTTCTATAACTTTTTAATGACTCTGTTAACCATTTCTACCCCCACCTCCAGTTTTTGGTCTTTTGGTGCCAGTTTCCAATCTTGTGATGCCTCCTTCCTAAATTTTCTTCTCTTCCCACCATCATTATCCAAACAACATAAGAACCAAAAAAACCCTCACATATTCCCCAAACTCTACCTAGGATGTGGTACTGCTGCCTTGAGGATTGTCGGAATAAAAGACAGAAATAACAGATAACAGCAACAAAATAGTGATGGAGTAGCTTAAGGATCTGGGATGTGGGAATGTGGGCCAGCAAACCTAGTAAAATGCAGCCAACCTGGATTTTACTGCAAGAATCTAAATAAAGTAAAAATTCCATCTCCTCAGTCAACCCACTGGTAGGGCTTTCAAGTTCCCCATCCCCCTTGTGTGTCCTTGGTGAGGCCAGACATGGACAGCATCATTCTGTTTCTCTGGAAGGTCTCCAAGCATAACTCCTTGGTGGAGATCCTCCAGGGTTCACCTCCACATCTGGGAGGTTCACAGTCTGAGAAAAGAAAAACTTGTGAAACCAGATTGATTCCTAGCCCAAGAGATCTCAAGTTGTGTTGTGAGCAGAAACATCAGGGAGCTGGTAAACAGTTCGCACCTACTGTCATGCTCAAGGGCTCCAGAAGAATTCACAAAGAAAACATTTTAATGGGAAAACTTCAGAGTCCCGAGAGAGGCAGGAAGAACAGGCAGAGATTCCCAGATCCTCCCATGTTCCCAGCAGAGAGGTTGCTGGAGGCAGGTGCACTGCTGGACACTCAATGTAGGTCAGTCCTGTGCTTCCTTCTTATAAGGCAAGTGCAACAACAATCTCATCAGTGGGGAGATGAATAGACTGCTTGGTGACTGTCTGAATGTGGGTTACCAACATTTTAAAAGGAGTCATCTGGGAAAGGTAGCCTAATACCCAGAATCCTTGGGAAGTTTGGCCCCTGTGGCAGAAGGTGGAAGCCACCTGTCCAAGGGAAGCTGAGTGTATGTTTTATTTTTTTTAAGATTTATTTATTTATGCATACAAGAGCTGGGGTACAGGCCAGAGATACAGGGGGTGAGAGGATTCACCAGAGACAGAGTGGGGAGCAGAACAGGTGGATCGACTGAAATTCACTACTGAGGGAAGCAATGAGGGGAGACAGGAGAGGTCTGTTGCACCATGTGGGTCAACTCCCTGGCCAGGGATGAAACTTGTGCTGCAGTAGTTGCGAATAGCTTCACAGTGCTGAAGCTTAGCTCCTTGCACCACCAGGGAGGACCCTTAGTTTATGTTTTAGACCCTCACTGTGAGAGGAATGTTGGGTAGGGCAGCTGGTCCCCAGCCAGCACATTTTTCAGGCACCTCAGAATGTGTTTCTAAGTTTCTTTCTGGGCAGTTCAACTTGTCAGCGCATACATAATTATATTAGATACAAATGCTCAATTATATTTCACTAAGTCTGAGGCATCTGGACTAAAAAGTTCCATATGTGATTCCGATATGTATAATCTAATCTTCCTGACAGAACCCAATGTTAGCCCCTTCCAGATACCTTTTTCTCCAGCCACTCCTCCCATAGTCTCTGTGAAAGTTCAGATGCTCTTTTCTATAGAATAAAGTATTAAGATTGAGCTCTGAATAGCCCCGTGTCTCCAGCACCAATAGTCTTGTGTTATGTCATTTCTAATAAGCAGGAATCCCCACATGGGAACTGGACATGATCATCCAGTTGGATGGAGAATAATGATAGAAACTGAATCCTCATGGCGCTGAAGAGGGGAGTGACCTGTCTAGGTGAGTGGTATTGTGAAAAGACCATGGATATGGTATTTAGGAGACTAATGTTCTTGTCTAAACTCTAGCAATTTGCTTGGTGATTTAAGTGAGATGTTCTCCATTTGCCATATAAGCGAATTGACTTAGGTGAGTTCCAAGTTAAGCTCTGGCAAGGTAATTGTTAAACTTCTGATAGTCTCTGATTATACACGTTTCAAAGAATAACTAAACTACTTGGAAGAAGGGTTGAGCCACAGTGGGGACAGTGTGATAGTTAGCATTTCTGAAATTTTGTTCTCTCTCAATGCCAAGAAAATGGTTTCATCTAAGCTTTATAGTGCCATTTTTACTTTCTTTTTGTGGAGTTACCTTTTTAAAAAGATTTATTTATGCGTAAAAGAGCTGAGGTGCAGGCCAGAGATGCAGGGAGTGAGTGTATTCACCAGAGACAGAGTGGGGAGCAGAACAGGCAGACATACTTAAATAAACTGCTGAAGGGAGCAGCGGGTGAGACAGGAGAGGTCTGCTGCGCCATATTGGGTCACTTCCCTGGCTGGCCAGGGATCAGAACTCATGTTGCAGTGGCTGAGGATAGCTTCATAGTGCTCCACCAGGGAGGCCCCTGGAGTTATCTTTTTTATACTTGAATGTACTTACACTTCTCATTCCTTTATCTTAGTCTCATGACCAACCAGCTACCATAATTAATAGTTCCTTTTACTTTTTAATTCCCTACATCTTTTCACTGGTTTATCTGTTCTTCTCCTCTTTTTGGTTTTGCATATTACTCAATCATCTTTTCCCGATTTCTTCATGTCTCTATGCTCACCATGCCCACCATAAGAAGCTCTGGCAGTATCTCTTCTGGATGTCTTCATTTCTCTTCCACTATCCCTTTTTATTTTCTCCCCATATAACGAGTACAGTGAATTGCATGACTTTATTGTCTTTTCCTTTGCTGGTTTATTTTCCTAGCTCTCAGCACTAGACCAGGTAACATTTGCATTTTAAATGTCTTTCAGGTAGGGAGATTTGAACTGAACCAAAGCATCACATGAATCAGGCTGTTTGTGAAGGACTTGTGTTTCCAGAGTCAGCAATGGAAAGTCTCAGAGGAAATACTGCCCAGTCTCCTACGAATGAAGAAACTTACACAAATGAGAGCCAGTTATCAAGGCAGATAAAAATTCCCATACAGAAGAAATCTTCTTTTGAGAAAACAGCAATCAGAAAAGTATCAGTGACACTCAAGGAGATTTTCACTGGGGAAAGAGGCCCTGAATCCAGTGAATTTAATCTAAGTTCAAAACTTAATACACTGCAGGAAATTCCAATGGGAGCTACAGCCCCCAAATCTAGAAAAAGCTCCAAAGATAATTCAGACTTAATCAAACACCAAAAATGCTTTCCACAAAAGAAACCTTGTAAATGCAATGAATGTGGGAAAACCTTCAGAATTCATGGTGGAGAAAAGCCTTTTGAATGCAATGAATGTGGGAAAACATTTGTCCGAAGTACACACCTTATTGAACATCAAAGAATTCACACTGGAGAGAAACCTTATGAATGCAGTGAGTGTGGAAAAGCTTTTAGCCGGAGCACACACCTTAGTCTACATCAGAGGATTCACACTGGAGAAAAACCATATGAATGTAGTGAGTGTGGAAAAGCATTTAGCCGAAGCACTAACCTTAGTCAACATCAGCGAACTCACACTCAAGAAAAACCTTACAAATGCAACGAATGTGGGAAAGCCTTCAGCGACCGTTCAACCATAATTCAGCACCAACGAATACACACAGGAGAGAATCCCTACGAATGCAGTGAATGTGGAAAAACTTTCAGTTGGATCTCGTCTCTCATTGAACATCAGAGAACGCACACTGGGGACCACCCTTATGAATGCAGTGACTGTGGGAAAGTGTTCAGTCGAAGCTCATCCCTGGTTGAACATCAGAGAATCCACACTGGAGAAAAGCCCCACGAGTGCAGAGAGTGCGGGAAAGGCTTCAGTAGGAGCTCATCCCTTGTTATTCACCAGAGAACTCACACGGGGGAGAAGCCTTACAAATGTAATGACTGTGGAAAAGCCTTCAGTCAGAGTTCAACCCTCATCAGACATCAGCAACTTCACACTAAAGAGTGAGGTCCAAGTTTTGACTAGTGTAAAAAACAGGGCATAGCTGAAAAGAAAAATACATACTTGTTTGGATTTTCCTTCCCTACTAGCTACAAGCCAGTTTCAAGCTAACCTTCCTACTTTCCTTCTTCTTTTTTCTGTGATCTAAATGATCAAATAAGTGGTCGATACAAGGGAAGGATGGATCCAGTCTAATACTCTGGAGGGCTTCAACCTTAGAGTGTATAACTACCTGACACCTTGTAGCTCCTCATTTTCTCTCTTCTATGGGACTTGTGTCCCTGAACAACCAGTAAGCCCAGTTTCCCAACCACCTCAGCCCCTTCCCTTAAAAGGAAATCCTCTTTAAAGTATGTGTGTGTGTGCTTTCTTATTTGATGGCTCCTGTAAAGAAAAGAAGCAGCTAGTTTCAGAATAAGACTGAAAACTTTCCACCCTTTGGGGATAATAATGTTGAGGTAAATTCAGTCTCTACACTTATACAGGTTTTTCTCTTCCTTTCTCCAACTTTAACCATAGCTCTATTACAATGCCTAACTAATCCTGGTTTATTTGATCTCATCCTTTTTATCAATATCCTAAAACGCTTTCATGTCTTCATTATATTGGGGAAAAATGCTGCCTTATTTTTTTAATTTTTTCTTTTGTTTACAGACATTATTAAACTTACACACTCTGGCTCTTACTCTCACCAATATAAAACTGATTTCTCCAGGACAAACTAGGTGCCTATTTCTCAGTCCTTTTCCTACTTGACATTTGCAGAATTGGCATGTTTGGCCACTCTGATGCCTTAAAATTTAAGCTTCTGGGATCCATGATTTGGTGCTGATCCTTTTCCTACCTCCCAGCACTCTTCTGGTTAACAATGATCAGTGTTGTGACTGTGGGTGAAAATTGGACCAGAATAATCTCATTTTATTTGGTTGTAATTCTTGAGGTTATTTGATTGTAAAACTTCTCGAAAACAGAAATCTTGTTTTAGATGCTGAGTAGTCACTAAATGTCCTGCAATTCTTGCTTACTGATTTCTCTAGCTGCTGTAATAAATCTGCTAGACTTCATATGAAATGGCTTAATCATTGATTTCTTTGTTCTCTATTCTTACTGCTGCAGACAAGTCCTCAATAGTTCTGACCTAAATGATCGTTGCTGCCTTTGTCTTTCTGTCTGTCTAGGTGCTTGATTAAACTACCACTTTGTTTAAAAAGATCAGCTTCTCATAATCCCCAGGAAATGCCTCAAACTGTGTTCAGTGTCTTCCACAGTTGGATACAGTTGACCCTTGAAAAAAATGGGTAGGGACACTGACCCCCATGCAATTAAAAATTCATGTATAATTTTTGTCTCCCCCAAAACTTAACTACTAATAGTCTGCTGCTGACCGGAAGCCTTACCAACAACATAATCAGTTAACACATATTTGGTATGTTACATGTATTATGTACTGTGTTCTTAAAATAAAGTAAGCTAGAGAAAAGGTGTTAAGAAAATCATAAGGAAAATAAAATACATTTAGAGTGCTATCCTGTATTTATGAATATCATGTTTATGTCTTCTGTTATAAGAAATTGTGATATAAGTGGCTCACACAGTTCAAACTCATTGCTCAGGAATCAACTGCATTTACTTGCTTTTCATTATTCCTCAATGCATGTGAGTAGGCCTAGTCTTTTTTCCTTATACCATCCTTCTCATGCTTGGCTGCTTCTCAAACTATTCCATGGCAACCCTTTCACACAGCCTTTCTTCCTTGCAACTCCAGAAATCCTATCCATTTCTAAAAGGCTCTACTCAAGTCCTGCCTCTTCTGTGATACCTGTCCCATCTTTGTAGGAGTCCTTTGCAGTGATGGTTTGTATTATTCTCCCATATTACATACCATCTTATAGTTCCCTGTTTCCTTCAGGTGCTTTTTTGCATAAACTGCTTTGAAGTCAGTTGTCTTAAATCTCTTAGGAGCCCAATCTAATACATAGTACAGTACAGTCCTGGACTCTAGTTGTAACCTAAACGAGGAGTGATTAATAATGTAATCTCTTGTCTTTTGAATGGTGACATAACCTCGTCCAATTATCACCCTCTCTGTCCTACCCTTAGTTATATACATTAGAACTTCAGGGATGCAGGCCCCCTGGTTTTCCACTTCATGAGACTATTGTAAAGAATAAGTGATTGTATTCATGTTAGGTGATGAAAACAGTGCCTGATATATAGAAAGTGCCCAATAAATGCTAATTTTTCTGGTGCTACTGCTTCACAGCTACCTGTAGCCTTTGATTTCATTCCCTGTATGGTCTATACTTCATTACCAGGTCACAATCAAGTAAGTTAGAAAATATTTCTTCTAACTGCAGTAATAAGCAATAGCCATCAAAACATAAACAGATCAGCATTAGAGAACAGAGAAAGTGCCTAGAAGATCAAGATCAGGACAAGTTATAGTATAGTTATTCTGACAACTAAAGAGAGACAGTCATTTGCTTACATTGTACTTGGAAGGAAACAATGTCTATTCTTCATGGAAAGCAAAATTTTCCTAATAGATTTAGGATGAATTTTTCCATCGGCCTTCATGTAATTATAGAAAGCATTTTACACCAAAGCAGTAAAATATTGTATCCTCCACAATGCCGAGCACACAGTAGTTTCTCCAGTGAATACTTATTTAGCTCATATAATGCTCAGAAAGGCAGGTGTGAAGACTGTTCCTTCAGATATAGTAGGGTTGGAGGGAAAAGGGCATAGAGTGTAGCAGAAATTCAGGTACTTACTGGGTATTGGGGGAAAAAGTTCTTTTCATACATTTGAGCCATAAAGTCACATTATGGGGTGAATAAACTAAAGTTTATTGGTGTTAATAACTTCTCCAAGGATCAGGATTTGACTCCACTTCTGCTGACACCAGTAATGAGCCTCTAAAGCTGGACCCTGGCAAGATCTAGAAAAAAAAATGGAAACCGTGTAAGGAAATGTTTAGAAGTGGGAAATAACCCTCAGTTTGTTGCAGTAGGAGCACTGGAAATCCCTATGGCAGGGATTTCAATGAAATAAAAAAAAAAAAACGGAGCAAGTTGATTTGGATTGAGCAGATAATGGCAAACCTTGAGCACAAAATCATGTTTGGGTTTAATCTTTATGGCAACAAGGGGATAACAGGAGTTTTTTTTTTTGCTCATGCTAATTAAGTTTAGTTGGGGTAGAGGACACATAATTGTTTGGAAATAGAAGACAGTGGGCAGAAACCAGGCAGGGTGCCGGTGTCTTAGAATAGTGATAATGGGAAAGAGAAAGCAGCAATCAACTGAAGAAAAAGGCAAAGAAAGGTAAGATCAAGGGAAAATGGTGACTAGAAATGGGTAACGCAGAAGAGTGACCAGTGGCTACGTTCCTTAATTGCTATTGTTAACTTTCTCATAAGCCACCAGGGCATGAACTGCACTTCTGACACACGCTCAGCAGTTAGTCATGAACACAAAACATAAGTTGAAGGTCTGCTAAGATCAAACTGCATCTTTAAAAAGAAGTCAACCTTGGGCCTCCCCTGGTGGCGCAGGCGGTTGAGCACAGACAGCCCTGTAAAGCTGTCCGCAGCCTCTGCAGCGCCGGTTCGATCCTGGCCAGCCTGCGTGGGTCCCACATGACGCAGCAGACCTCTCCTGTCTCCCCTCTGCTCCCCTCAGCAGTGTATTTCGTCAGTCTGCCTGTTCTGTTCCCCGCTCTGTCTCTGGTGAATCCTCTCACCCTCCTGCGCATCTGGCCTGTACCCCAGTTCTTGTATAAATAAATAAAATCTTAAAAAAAAAAAGAAGCCAACCTGGAACAAAAGTCTTTAGGGTTTTTGGTGGGAAAGTCGGGTCAGAAGGCAGAGAGATCAGCCCTATTTTAAGGTGAAGAAGGAGGATCTTCCCAAGCCAGCGATTTACAGCCACCTGGCGAAGGCGGAAGGAGGAATCTTCAAAACAATGCGCCTTACTCGGAGCCCACACTCGTCGCTCAGCGCGGGCCGAGAGAGAGAAGGCTTTCTTTCTCCTTGGCCATCCCTTGGCAACTGTGGCCCGAGCGCGAGACCATCCGGCGGGTAGGAGGCTCGCGGCCGGGGCCAGGGCCAGGGCCACGCAGGCCCCTCGCGGCCGCCGTAGTCTGGCGCCCACCCGGGCCGGGCGTTTCCTCCAACATGGCTGGCAGTTCCCGGAGCCACCCGGCAGGCGCCGGTCACCAGAAGCCCCGTCTCTAGTTTCCCGCTTCTTGGGGGAAGCTCCGAATCACCTTCAGCCAAAGAACCAGGAGGTCCCCTAGTCGCAGGCTGCCTGACTCTCCGGGGAAGGTTCCAGCACTGGGCTCCTCCCGCGGCCCCATGGCCCCAGCACCGCCAGGCCTCAGGACCCCGGCAGTCACAGTCAAGGTAAGCCCGTTTCTTCTCTCAAAACAATCACTTGTTACGCTTCCACTGAGAAGCCAACATCTGGGCCAGTTACGGCAGTGGTGGTGTCTGTGTCAGAAACGTTAGGGCGCCTGCTTTTCAGGACCAGCATTACAGGAAACAATATTCGGGCCTTACAGGGCCGCAAGCTGCACCCTACCAGAGTCTAGAAGCTCCTGAACTGGCCGCCCCAAGAGCTGGGTGTGTTTGGTGATGAGAAGCACAGGGGGACAATGCTTGTGTAGGCGAGGGCTAGGTCTGCTTTACACAAATAAGGTTTTCAGTAAGTGCAATTCTAATTGGTAGGAAGGTTGTCAAGCGTGATTGCTCGAATTGCAATCCTGAGCAGGTGGTTTTGTTACAGGGCAGGGAGAGGGGCGCCCCACACCCCACAAAAGGGCCTTCCCTAAATAGGTTCTGCCATGACTGCATCAACACAAAACATATGAGACTTTAAAGAAAAGGAACTTTAATACAATTAGGAAACAATACAGGAAAGGCAAAGAATATAGTTTCTAAATCAAGCACCCAAAGTTACCCTCCCCTCATGGGTAAAAGTCCACCCTGGCAGGATTGGGCCAGAGCGAGGCCCCAAAGCCTGCCACAAGTCTAAAGCATCTTCCAGTGGGGACCCACAGAAAAGGATCAGAAACAACCAGACAAGTCTGGGGGAAAAAGAACAAAATCAAAATCAAGACAAAAACCGCCATTGTCACCTCCCCACAGCTCTCACCCACATCTGTGTCACCCAGTCCATGACCAAAAGGAAAGCACAATTTCTTCATGTATCTCTCAGCAACATGTGCCTCCTCCAGGTCTCCTTGTGGCTCGCCATCCTGCTTCCTTCCTTCGCCCATCTCCTCTCCAGCTTTTCCTCCCTGCTCAGTCCACCCTCCTTTGGGATGGGGCAGGAAACCTGGAACCTCCCCTTTTTCTGGGGACTACCCTGTTACAGTTTCATTTTCTTTTTGGTAGTGGAGAGGTGTGGGCATGCAGGAACATGCTGGTGGCTCTGTTGTACCTGGGACTTGGCCCTTAACAGTGTCCTGGCTCTGGTTGGTTGGTAACCATATTCATAGTTTTTATGTGTCATAGCTTTTAATTTAAGACAGAGCTCAGCACTTACAGCTTCCAGTTCTCTATCTTCTAAAAAAGGATGGCATGGTTTAATGCTAAAATGCAAGTGGTGGTGGTAAAGCAAGATGTGGAATAGTATGTGACCTTATCATGAGTAGGAAGAACTGTCTAGGTACAGAGTGTGGGAAAGGCTGATGAGTTGTGCGGTTTTCTTTTACAAGAGTACTGTTGCTTCAGATTGCAGACTTCTGTAATGAATAGTATTTATTAGGGGAATGAAAACTTGACCATGCCTCTCACTTTTAATATTGTTTTAAAGCTTTTTGATTTAGCAATTTGGAGCTCTGTGTCTTATCTCAATTTAATACTTGAAAAATGAAAATGAAAAAATGCATTGTTGACTATGCTTACTGAATCGGTATATTCATTTTTCAATCCCAATTTCTAAAAATTATGGTATAATTGACATATAATGTTAGTATTATAGTTTTTTCTCCTCCTGACTAAAGTAAATATATAATAATGATTCAATATTTTTATATATTACAAAGTGATTACAACAATAAGTCTTGTTAATTCTGTCCCCATACATAGTTACAAAAAGTTTATTTTTCCTGTGATGAATCTAAAGCACCTTTCCTGTATGCAATACAGCATTGTTAACTATAGTGACTGCTGTGTAATGACACCACCCTGACTTACTCATTTTATAACTGGCAGTTTCTACCTTTGGATCACTTAATCCATTTCACCTACCTCCTTCCTCTGGCAACCTTCAATCTGTTCTTTGTATCTATGAGCTTGATTTGTTTGTGTGTTTGGTTTTAGACTCCACATTGGAGATCATTTTATTTTTTTCTGAATTATTTCACTTAGAATATGGATGTGGGGCAAAAAAAAGAGAATATGGATGTGGATCCTAAACCCAGTGGGACAAAATAAGGGTTTATATCCTGAGCTAATGGTTTTCAAGCAGAGAGTAGGAAAATTCACATGCTGAAGAGATGACTCATGGTGGAGACTAACAACTTTGTAATTAGGTGTTTGCCCTCCTGTACAGATAGGTTTTACTGACAGAAAGGTTATTTCTGGTAAAAATTCCAATTCTGGGGAATACTCGTAATTTTTATTTTTCTTAGTAGGTGATTAAGGGGTGGTAAAGTGTTTTTGTGAGCCTTGACTGACCTCTGCTCAAAAAATCCACATGCCAAAATAACAGGTCTTGGGAAGGCCTGTCTGAACAGTCAAAAATCAAATCTTTTCTGTTAATAAACCGAAGACTGCCTGAATTCTCAACTTGTCATATGACCTTGAAGTGTATACAAAATTATTCTGCAAGAAGTTGGGCAAGTTAGAAAGATACCAGGACAATCATGTGGTAAAAAAAAAATTATCTATTAGATGTGACTTCTTGGCCCCCACACTGCTTCTTGCTCCGTGGACACAGGTTAGTCATTTAGCTTGAACATCAGTTTCCCCATTATTTTCACTTCCCCACAAGAATCCTCTGATAAGAAATCTAAAACACATGGGAGTGCTTAAAGAGCAAACTACTGTCGTAGTAACTATTATAATAAAGTTACAAATAACACTAAGTCCTTATCCATAAACTGCTGTTCTAAAGCTTTATGTAAATTAATTCATTGAATTACTACAAAACCCTAGGAAAGACATCCATAGTGATATTGTCCCTAGTTTAAACAGGAGGAAGCATACATAATCTAATCAAGGCCACACATGTGAACTGCAGAGTTTGGGCTTGACTCTAGCCTGCCTGGGTCTGGGGACCACATCCTTTTCAGTCTCTGGACCTCCCTACCCACGAATACACCTTTGGAAATTGGGCTCTGAAGTGGTTTAGTTATTGCCTTGTCCCTTCCCCTGACCCACTGGAGGCGGCAATGCAAGCTGGTTTTTAGTTTTGTTTGTTTTACTAATTTCTTAGATCATCCTGACACTTTCAGCAAAAGCTAACAGAAGTGGACTGATAATCTGATATGAGGGTGATATTA